AACTGTTGAGCTTTAACATTTACTTTCAAACAAAAGTTTTACCCGTAGATTATTTTAGTTTTTAATATTGTTTTCCTTCAGGGATCACACTGATTTCCATTACAAAAATTGCCTGCTGTACATAACTATAATCTGTATACGCAATGATAATATGCAATTATTACAATTAATTTATTAATATGATCACCCCCTTCTTGTTCTAAGTATAACATATTTTCATAGTATAAAGAAAAACAACCTAACCCTATAGGTCCTATGATTATAATTTGAGAAATCTCGGGTTATAATTCCATTTTTTTCAATATAAATTTTTCTATATGTACATTACTTATCTCATTTATATACAAATTACTTATATCTCAAATTGCATACAAAAATTAAATGGAATTTCAATACTTAAATTTAAATGTCTCATATAAATTATAAAAAGTCTAAAAATAAAAATGAAAATAATGCGACATTCTTAATTTTCTTTGTGCACATTTAAAATTTTTAAGCATCTTTTCATACATACATCCATGCATAAGTAGTTTTTTTTTTTTGCTATTGTTATCTTGAATCTCTTATTTATTTTATAAAACAATTTAAAAGCTTAGAAAGCTCGCATTACAATTTTATTATAAGCACAAGTACTTACTTAATTATATGGTAAGGGGACTATTGACAATACAGATTAGTGTCCGAACTTTGTTTTTTCTAGAAATCAAAGAAATAATTCTAAAACAAAAACTTGGAAAAATTGTTTATTGATAAGGCTAAGAAATGTGGAATTTTAAGGATGGCAGGGATGGCGAACCTAATTCACGCGGGCCCAAGGTGGCTTAAAATATAAAAATTATATTTGCTAAAAATTGTTTCCAAAAATTTTTTAAGTGAAGCCTGTATTTCCTCTAAAAACAACTAATTATCTTCCTGATTAGCGGCAGCAATTCAACAACAAAAATCTCATTAATTCTATATTTATAAGATTATGTCAGTTATAAATAAATCGACATATTTGTGTAAATGACAAATATCTTTTGTTTATTTTAAAGCACGCTAGTATTTTCATTTTTCTAAAATAATTATTTTTGGCACGCAGTCCGATAAAAGTTTGCCATCCCTGCTCTATAGTATATTATATAAGTAAAAATATCTAATATATAATATATAAGCAAAATTAGCAGTTTGCAAAATACGGTTGTTACTGCAATTACTTTTTAGAGCTGATTATGACGATTAGTTTTAAGGAATAAAAGTTTAAACTAATAAAGTAATTTCTTAGTTTAGTATTATTCAATTAATATTTTAAGAAAATTTTTAAGTATGTCCGGACTCTAAAATTACATTAGCTAAATTTATATTATTTACTAATAGTGTAGCGGATAGAAAAACGCGAATCTTTTTTTTATTTTTGTATAAAAAGCATAAATCCTGCTGTTTTTCGGCGTTATTTAATATTATTTATTTGAAGCTATTACCATTTTTAGAAATATTTAGCAATCGAGTAATTTAAATATAAAATTATATTAAAATTAAAGAAAGTTTATACATTTTTGTTCGAATAATACTTTGGTATATTTACCCTATGTGAACAATTTGCACATCTACAATAAAATATTTAAGTAACTTAATCTAAATAGCACTTTGTTTTTTGTTTTATTTGCATATTATGAAATTTTTACTGTTCTTAACATATATGTGTATTTATCTTTTTTTTCGAAATATACTTAAGTGAATTTTCTCATTGGAATTATTTATATTTTTTATATTAGAATAAAGTTAGATCAGAATTTAAATGAAAACGTACAATAATTGTACTAGAAACTACAGAATTATTGTTAGAGAATCTCAAATCAATATTAAAAAATTTATTAATTTTCAAATATGCATTAAAAATTTTAAAATATATTTTACTTATATTAAGTAGTACAATAATTTGCAATTGATATAAGTAAGTTATATTTTTCCTCTTAAACACACAAAATCAACAAAATTATGCAAATTATATACTTAAAGGTACTTATTTCGAATTATTAATAAGTATAATAAATTTTTAGTATACTTAAGTACATACATGTGTTCGTTTTATTCACAATTATGCAATCATAATTAAATACTTAACTATTTGAGATTATCACAAAAATTTCAATCACTTAATTGCGTTTATTCGAATGTGATCTTAAAATTTATTGAATTTCGATTCTCAACTGAATCAATTAGCTATTCTCAACTTCTCACAAATGGCATAATTTCAAGTAAAATTTGACTTATACGATTACCAAATAAAATTATAAAATATAAGTGTGTGCATATGTTTATCTCTTCCTAATTTAGAACATTTGAACATATAAGTACATACTTATGTATATTCTTCTTTTAACGAAATGGAGCTAAAATATTAACTATTAAGTAAGCTTAACGTATGTTCTTAGTTTGCGGCTAAATTATGATTTAGCATTCGATATTTCACCTTACTACGAGTAGTTCTCTTCAATCAAAATTAATTTGTAATCTTGCACAATTCCTGGTATAAAAATCAGTATTTAAGTACAAGTACATATAACAATTTTTACTTGAACCCAAAATAAATTCACATGTTTAAATAACAAAAATAGCCTTATGAAAAAAGTAATATTGGCTAGTTATTTAAAAAGCATAAACATTAAAAATAAACAAAATTTTGTTGTTTCAATTTTTTGTCCTATTCAAACAACAACTTTACAACCCCATTTAATCTTTTGTTCTCATACCCATAAATTATTTTTAAATAATAATAATAAGAAGAGCTTAATATTTAGACTTATCATTCCACTTAATTTACATTTAAAACCGATTTATTTTCATTTCAACCAGAATTAATAATTTTATTATAATTCTGAAAATAAAAATATTCTAGTTCTTCAAATAAAAATGCTCCCCATAAATTTACATAAGCAAGACTAAATTCAAGTTTTACTGGTTAACAATAACCATACTGTCCCAAAATTAACGAATATTATCAATCCTATTTATATTAATTTTAAAGAATTTTATGAAATCTTTATAATTAAATTCAGTAAGAGAATTTAATATTTAATTTATTATTAAAAAATATGATTAAAGTACTTTTTTTTCAGTCTGGCAATATTATAAATATTTACCCATTATCTAAAATCCCAGATAGTATCCATGTACTTACTTTAACAAGTACAAGATATTTACAAATATTTTAAGTACAAAAGGATTTGAAACTTATTTGTTTGTACTCCTAAGTGTAATAATAAAGGCAATAAAATGATTTATTATTCTTCCTCTTGCTAGTCAATTTTTTTGAAATAAATTACTTAATTATCTTCCTCGGCGGTAAAAATAACGCGAAACACGTGTACTGAAATCTTTATAAACAATTCATTAAATATTAGGTTTTCACTAGAGAAAAAAAGGCACGTGTTTTTTATATGAAAATTAATTACTTGAATCGATTTTTTAAATAAATCAAAATAAAACAATGAAAAAAAAAATTAAAAATTTTTTAACCCAACAAAATAAACTTGGTACATAATGTGGGCAAAAATTTAAACTTAAATTTCTCAACTCAAAGGTGACAGTAATTTTTTAACTGGATAACCCTTACTAAAATGGAAAAAATATACTGAACACATTACTGTCTTGTAGCATATTTTATACAAGGTAATAATGCGTCTGTTGCAATTTCTTCGGTATTTAGTGCAATCCTTAAAAAACTACTTATCTACATATATAAGCATAACATAATTAAGTAATAAGTATGCATACTTTCAGCCACTACGAACATAACACATAATTAGCACATTTTTCAGGATATTGAAAAATTTTAGGAATTCAAATAATTAAAATTCTCACTTTATCTTCACAAGATCAAAATAAATTATCATTCTATATCTCTAAAAGCAAATTCATAAATGGGAAATATTTTGCAAGCACTCTAACCGCTTCCAACTCAAAATAATCAAAATTAATTAATATTATGAACCTATTTATAACTATTTATCATTTATTTTTTAATTATCGCATAAATCTACATTAAGTATTTGAAAAGAAAATGTAGTAAAACGAATAATGTAATCTTTCTACCCTTGTCGACTCTGTCTACAATTCCTTTATTTCTCTTTTTTCTTTTTTAATGAAATTCAACCTACAATTGACATACATGCAAAGAGCGAAAAACAATATTATTCATGAATATTTTAAAATCTAGCAAATATAAATTATTGTCATTTATTTATGATTTTTCACCACGACAAAAATTTTTTATAATAATTTTATTGAATAATCTATTTTTATTATTAATAAAGCCTACTTACTAGTATAGTAACTATTTAATTTACATACTTACATACAAAAATTTGATTTTATTGCAAAAATATAATAAGAAAAAAAAATAAATGGAAAATACGTGGGAAGAACGCATTTTTATAAAAAAAAAATTTCTTTGCTTTTTTTTTATATATTCTTGGTTATTTTTAGATTACAAATAACAGAAATAACAATAAATGTTATGTATAAATTTTACCTTCCTATACGCAATAAAATCTACTAGCATAAAAACAATAAGTACAAAACAAAAACAAGCACGTAAATAGTAACCAACACTGTCTAGTTTCCACATTGTCTGCTCTGCTTGCGCTAGTAGAATTTGTCAAAAAAAAAAAACAAAAATGCAAAAATACCAAAAATAAGAATAAACTCAAAATTTAATACAAGAACAACAAAAAAAAAATTTGACAGATTGTGTATATAAAAACAAAACAAAAAAAAGATTTACTTTGCAGCTTTTTTTATTTTTTTCTCTCTTGTATGTTATTTTGATTGTTTATTTCACTTTCATTTTAAGTTTTGTGTATTACATTTCAAGGTCTTTTTTATATATTTACAAAAAATATTTTCTAATGAAATTAATTTTATAAAATTTAATAATATCAACAAATTGAAATTTATAATTTTTATTTTAAAAACTGAAAATTTCATAGTAGGAAGAAATAATTTTGACTTTTTCTTACATTTTTATCTCTTACAATAAAAATAAGTTTTACTTCAGCTGTTTTCATTATAAATATTGCACAAAAACATTTTCGATTTCCTTTCAAAATTTATTTTAAATATTTTCTTTTCTATTATTTTAAATAAATTTTTAAATAATTTCAAATATATTTTTATATTTCCACTTTAATTCAGAATTTTAGAAATATTTTCAATGTAAAAACACAAAAATTGATTTCAGACGATAAAAACATGTTTACGTTTTACATTGCAGACAAAACTAAAAAAAAAAAATTTTTTGTTAGCTTATATTTTTTTTAATTAAATTTTTCTATAATATCGGGTTCAATTATTACACTATAATTATTTTATATATAAATTACAATTATTTATTATTAGTAAAATTTAATAAATTAATGAATATGTTCACAGATAAACAAAATATTTATGTTTATATTTAATGAATTTTTACAAAAGTTTTTGTTTATTTCAATAATTAGAATTTTCTATTAAGTTTAAAGACCCGCTACTATCCGCTACTATCTAACCTTATCGTACCGCACTATACACGAAACTGACTTTATTATTTACTTCCAAAAAAAAAAAAAACCTTTTTCAATCAAGTTAACTTTCATTTTTGACATTTTTTCCTACTATATATTATTTTGACATTTTACGTTTTGTATAATGTCATCATAAGACAATATTAATACAATACTGCCATATTGATATAATAATTATAGTGACATCTATGAGTAAATTTGAAAACTAATTCAACTATATAGATTTATTAAAATAATAAATTTGTAAATAATTACAATAAAAAATTAGAGTTATTAAAAATAGAAAAACGAAACTACTTTATGAAAAATTGAGCGTAGAACATAATTTTGAATTAGTTGTGGTATATTTTGTTATTATTAACAAATAAAAATCGGGGAAATATTCAATTCCGTTCACTCACTTTTCAATTGTGTAAGTGCAATTAATCATTTTGAAATAAACAGCAGTAAGAATGTTCCGACAGGAAAATTATTGAATATGGCATAATTTTTCTAATTTAATACAGACTAATCAATATAGTTTTGATTGCTATTAAGTTAAGTAAAATTTCTATACTTTTAAAACGCTAATTAAAACAAAATAATAATTGAAACGTTCCAGTTACTCTTAACTACTCTTAACAACTATCTAACATATTAATACAGAATTATAGCATATTGTATAACAGAAAACTTTAAAATCAAATGGGATTTTGTTGATTTTATTAATAATTTAATTAATATTTACTTATTTCAAATGTATGAGAATTATACGAAAGAAGATTTTCAATTGAATCGAACCGCAAGAAAATTTTAGCAAGTTATTACAAATTATTTATAAAATAATAAGATTTTACATTTTACAAATTCATATACCATAATTGAGAAGTACACAATATGTACTCGTATATGCAAATATAAATCATTTCTCAGGAAAAGCTTTTTCAAATCTGCAGACCTTTGTTATATTTAATTTTATAATGTGTCTAACTAGACAATTATAAATTTTTAAATTTGCAACCAAATTTTACATAATTTTTAAATTCGTTTCTAAGTACTAAGTCATAGATTGGTAATGCATAGGGCTTAGAATTCAGTCTTAGTTTATTTTAATAATTACTAAAAACTACTTTGACGGTATCAACAAAACTTATTAGCAAAGTTAAGCACCATCTGTGTACTTTTTTATGAAATATATCTTTTGTAAATTTTTCCAAAAATTTTTCATATTTTATAAATTATATTTTTATTTATTTTGTTTCCAGTACTGTCGTACAGATGACACCTATAAACATTATAATTTTGTTTTATACCAACAGATTAAGAAAATTAAGAAAATTTTCTGCCAAAAATGAAGAAACTTTGATAAATCAAGTTACTATTTTGATATCCGAAACTTGTTATTCCTACACTTGGTATTTTTTTGACAAACAGATTTTGACATTTCAACTTATAATGTATTCATATAACAATTATTTAAACAAAACAATAAAACAACAAAAATTTGACATTTCATATTGAAACTATTTTTGTTTATACAATTTGTTTACATTGACAAATTTGCCGATTTTTTTTATTCTTTTACTAAAAATGTAAGAATATAACAAAAATTCATAATTCTAGAAATTTTGAAAGGTTTTTCAATTTTGTTGCATGGAATACATTTATTTATTTGTGTAAGAAATAATAGGTTGATTGAAAGTAACAAAAAATTTGCCGGCATTTTTTTCAAAGCAATTAGGCTGACATTGATGACTTAAAAATGCGAATTTTAATAATCATTACATTTTTATTTATATTCACTTTAAAAATTTTGCATACAGAAAAATGTTCTAAAAGTGCAAGTTTTGATGAAGAAGAAAGTATTAAATCTATGTACACTGAAAGTGTGTAGAATAAAATGAAGTCTCGAAGTTTATTACATGTATGTATTTTCATTTCAGGTTCCAATAAAATATTTAAGCAAATTGAAGATTCATTACATAGTTATACACCTTGCAGTAATCGAAGTTGTGAGTGCCATTTACCAATTATAGAAAGAGATCTAGCACAATTTTCTGGAGGAATAACAAAAGAAATGATTGATTCTGTAGCAAATAAAGGAACAAAATATCAAATCATTAACAAAAAGTTATATAGGCAAAAATCTTGTATGTTTCCTTTAAGATGTTCTGGTGTTGAACATTTTATAAAAATGCTTTTAAAAGAACTGCCAAACATGGAATTTATAATTAATTGCCGTGATTGGCCTCAGCTTTATAAAAATTTTGTTGGTACAAAAGGTCCAGTTTTTTCATTTAGTAAAACTGAAAATGAATTAGACATAATGTATCCTGCTTGGAGTTTTTGGGAAGGTGGTCCCGCTATCTCATTATATCCAACTGGTATTGGACGATGGGATTTACATAGGAAAAAAATTACAGAAATTGCTGATGAAAAATATCCATGGGAAAATAAAATTAGTAAAGGATTTTTTCGTGGTTCAAGAACTTCTGATGAAAGAGATTTTTTGATCTTATTATCTCGAGATCAACCAAATCTAGTAGATGCTCAATATACAAAAAATCAAGCATGGAAATCACCTAAAGATACGCTAAATGCAGAACCAGCTAAAGAAGTTTCATTTGAAGAACATTGTCAATATAAATACTTATTTAATTTTCGTGGGGTTGCAGCTAGTTTTAGATTTAAACATTTATTTTTATGTAAAAGTTTAGTTTTTCATATAGGTGATGAATGGAAAGAATTCTTTTATGATGCAATGAAACCATGGGTTCATTATGTTCCATTAAACACAAACACAAAAAAAGAAGATCTAATAGAATTACTTGAATTTTTTAAAGAGCATGATGATGTAGCAAAAGAAATCGCTAATCGTGGTTTTGAATTTATATGGAAACATTTAAGAATGCAAGATGTTATATGTTACTGGAGAAATTTACTTATTAAATACGGAAATTTAATTAAATATGATGTTAAGTTAGATGATACACTAATAGAAATTTCATAAAAAATCTCGAATTTACTTTTTTTTTTAAATAAATTTATATGTATATGATATGATTAAATTTATTTTCATTTAATAATTCTTACATAATTGTCTCGAATTGTAATAAGATAACAGAGAAAGATGTTTATATAAGATCTGATGAGCCGAATCAGATATTACTTTATTTTATAAAATTCTTGAGAAACAAAATTAAATACATATATAAAGATTTTTTGTAATTAACATTAACTATATCAAACAAGTGTTAGACTAGACAATTGGCATATTGCTAAAAAAGCGAAAGTATATCTAAAAGTTTATTATTTTTGTATGAGAATCTTATTTTTAGTAAACGCGAACAAATTAATTTTATAAAACTATTACATATTACATAAATTTTCCCGGTAAAGTTGGTTACTTATTCATGAACAGTAAATAAACCTCCAAATTTTGTAGATCACCTGGCTTTTAATATTTAATTTTGCACTTACAAATTTCAATTATAAAATCATAAATTTTTAGTTTTGTAAATTCTAAGAACCTTAAATTATGTATTTGTAAATTTTTTTCATCATATTAGGAAATTTATTCATATGAAAACATATCAAATAGAAAGCTAATTTGAAAATTATTTGTTCGTAGAGCATATACTTAAAAATATTATGTACCTATGTATATACGTATATAAACGAGTGTGGTTTTTCGTGCAAACGCATCGTGTAATAATCATTGTAGGACGTCAACCCGCCATCATTTTTCACAGAATATCTACACATTTTCTCCCTTCCTTAATATAATACCGTTATAAAAACTTTTTAGAAAATTTGGCAAAAATATCTTATTTTTGTTCGTGTATGTATACACCCTTTTTTAAATAATTTATGTAAAAATTTGTAATACAATGACGTCAACATTTCAATATCTTGAGATACATACATAATTGCAAATTGTATACATAGTATACTAAACATAAATATGTATGATTTAACAGGGTGTTACACGCACTTAAACATGCGTATACTAAATACATACCATTAAGAATGCATATTTTGAGGCATAATTTTTAAATAAACAATTTATATCCTAGTTTCGATTTTTGTGGGGTTGGCGATGAGACCGCCGTGCACATTCTCTATCCGGCCATAGGTCCGTCTTGGCCATAGGTCCCTAAGTGTTCGGGAACTGTTGTCCAACTCCCTTAGGGATATCTCCGGCTTTGTGGTTGGGACGGGGATGCTATAGATGAGAGCGTGGGGAGGCTACAATAAGTCAAGAATGGCTGCGGTGGCTTGGGGGGTTACTCCTGTCCCACTCGATTCCCTTAAAATCAACAAATCTATCTTAGTTTCGATATCACTAAAGAAATATTTGGAATTTATTTTTGTATTATCTAAGGCTTAGGATATCTACATATGTTGGTATTCTTTCATAATACCTCCATACATATCCTGAAATTAATAGTATTATATTACTGTTAATTTTACTATAAAAATTTTAAGAAAACATTCATATATATTGATGTTATATAGAAGAAAACGATAATCATTACAGACAGTATGAGTCGACATCTAGAAGATGTCGAATAGAAGATTAAGCTTTAACAGGTTATCTTTAACTCTTCCAACATCCACAACTTCACTTTTGTAACTGTGAACTTCTCCTTTAATAATTATGAATAATATTAGAAACGATTTCATACCCCAAATTAAATAAAATAAAAATAAAACAAAAAAGATCAAAAATATTTCACTTCATTTATGCGGAAGGAAAAAATTACAATATTAATCGTATAACAAAACAAATTAATTTTATTTTTAATGCTAAATTTAAATTTATTTAAAAATTATCATATATATACATAAATATTCTTATACGAATTACCAATGTTATATTTAAACACCCGGCATGATAGTATACATACATATCTACTTTTCTGTCTCCAACTTTTTTGTATATATGTTAATAAAAATGTATCTATGTATGAATATTTTGTAAGTAGTATAAAGACTTTCAGTAATATACTGGTTGTGAAGGAAGCTACTATAATTATAACAAAAAAAAAAGTTATAATTTGAAAAATAAAATATATAGAATTTAAAAATTCTGAAAAATTTAAAAAAATTTAACAAAACAAAGATTTGCATGTGAAAATGTTAACAAATTTATATTAATTTTTTTTCTTTTTATTATTCAACCAAAGAAAATTTTAATTATTAATAGAAAAGCACATAATATTTATATGCATATGTATAACCGTATAACCTTGGTACTAGCAACGGTATAACAATATTATCTAGAGTATGAAATGAGGAAAAAATTTTTTTTTCCACTACATAATATAAAAAAAAATAATAGTTAATAAATCTACAGACTTTTAGTACTAGTTCAAATAAAAAAAAAAATAAATAACTAGTTACTCAAGTTCAAGTCTAGAAATTTATTTCATTGTAACAAAGTTTCTCATTATATATACATATATATATATAAGTAAATAAAGCGTAAATAACAAAAATAAAATCTTATGTGTAATATAAAAAATATTGAAATTATATTTTAATAAAAAGCGCTATACTGTTATAAAAACTAAAATAAATTTCAACTTTGATGACTGAAAACAAAACTGCTTATACCATATGTACATATATTTAGAATTTTATATATGTATTTAGTTAAAAACAAAATAAACCAGAATAATAAATAATAATATAAAAACCAAAAGTGGAAAATATTGTTATTATTAATATTTTTCATTCAATATTATTCGCATTTTCTATATAACCACTTAGAAAAAAGATTAAGAAACAAATAACTAGATTAGTCTTGGTAACAATTTTGTTATTTTAAATACAAGAAAAAATAAATTTATTTTCAATTAACTACCAGTCATTTATTTATTAAATTTCATTGAAAACAAGTTATTTATAAAATATATAAAAATTTCATTTTTTGCATACCACAGTCTTACCTATACCTTACCTACGACAAATTTATCTAAACTCTAAATGCAGATATTTATAAGCCTATTAAAAATGTATATGAAAAAAATATGTAAAATAATTAAATTATCTAAACTATCAACAATATTTTCAATTTTATTATATTTTATATTTATATCAATTGTTTTAAATTATACATTACAAGCACAAATGAAAACTAATAAAAATAATAATATGAATTTAAATAATGATAATAATAAGAAATTTTTGCAACAAATCGATAATAATAATGCTACAATTATTGGTACTGATGAACAAAATCATAATAATAATATTGTTGTATTAAATAATGATAATAATATAAATAATAATATTAATAATGAAATAAATAATTTAAATGAAAAAGTTATTATTGATGTTGATAATGGTGATTTTGATGATAATTTAAATAAAAATAATATTAATAAAAGTTTACCACAAACTGTGATATTAGCTGGTAGTTCTGTAACTGAACAAGAAATACTAGAAAAAATATTTAAAAAGTAAGAAATAAATAAATATATATATATACATGTATATACATAATGTACATACTATATGTATCTATAAAATTTAATTGAATATGAGTATATGCACAATATATGTAATCACATTCAGTTGTACCATGCATCTACAATTTTCGTTGTAACAAATTTAAAGTTTAAAATTGTAATATGTGCCCGTAAATTATCATTAATAATTATATAAAAATATTAAATTCGGTAGAGCACAATTTTTTTGTAATATCCAGCAATTTTGTTTTAAGCACAGTTTAAAACGGCTAATTCCCATAATCAAGCTGACACTTCTGAAGTTCATTCCGATTAGTACTACCTTCTAAGTTACAGTTCTTAAAATTTTCAATTTTCAAATTTTATTATTGGATTTTACTAAAATCTATTGTTCTAGTTTTTTTTTAAAACTCTTACATCACTATAATTAATTTAATTTTCATTCAAAATGGAAAGAGTGCAACATTCGAATATAAAGAGTTTAAAATCATACTTTTCAGTTTTAGATTAAAAACTTTCTTTATTTAAAAAAATTTATTGTAGATTAATGCATATTTACGGCAAAAACAAAATTTCAAATATTTATCGATTAGAGAAATAATTTTAAGAATATTTCAGAATTGTAAATAAATCTGTAAATTCTAACTACATATATTTTCTATTTAATTTTCAGGGCAAATAAAAATGGTGATAAATATTTAACAATACAAGAACTGGGTCATTATATAAATAAAAAAATTCACGAACATATAAAAAATTCAATAGCAATGAATGCTGTAAATTTTGCTCAAATTGATACATCACCTAAAGATGGTTTAATAACATGGGATGAATATCACAAGTATTTTTTAAGAGAGCACGGTTTAGATGAAACTTATATACGGGAACATAATGAAGCAAAACATTTAAAATTGAGTCGTAAAGCTAGAGAGGATATGATGCGTGATAAAGCAAGATGGTCAGAAGCAGCTAAAACTGATCCATTTAGTTTAACATTAGATGAATTTTTAGCATTTCGACATCCAGAATCAAGCACTGTAAATTTATTAGGTTTTGTTGATGATTTATTAAGGCTATTCGATTTAGATGGTGATGATTGTTTAACACTAGAAGAATTTTCAGATTTATCTTTAAGTGAATTTGATGAAAAGTATCGAAGACAAATTGTTTCAAAAACTGTTGAAGCAAGACAGGAAGAATTTAATCGTATTATTGATATTAACAGTGATGGTAAAGCTGACAGAGAAGAGTTGTTAAATTATGTAAATCCAAAACATCCAAGATATGCGTTACAAGAAGCTGGAACCTTAGTAAATTTAACTGATACAAATAAAGATGGTAAACTAACACTAGATGAGGTATGATTCAATATTAGTTTTTTATCCTATATATACGAGTACTTATGTGTTAATTTTACTCTTCTAGATTTTAACCAACTCCAAAATTTTTATGGCTTCAAAAATGGTTGACACGGCCAATAGTTTTCATGAAGAATTTTAAAAGTAGTCTACTTTTTTACACTAATTATTAAATTTTTAATTTGTAAATGGCTGTTTTAATTTTTAGTTAAAAAATATTTATAATGTATTTATTAATTAATTTAAGTATTAAATTTTTTTATAAAATTTGATTTAAGTTTTTTATGTTTTGATTTTTACTAAAAATATAAGATATTATATAAATCGATGAAAAACATAAGAATATAACACCTACATGAATTACATAATTCGGTATTTTATTTTATTTTATTTATTATAAAGCTTTTGATTTCTTTTCAAGCAGTTTCGCACAGCAAAAAATCACATTACTAAATTTTACAAATGAAAAATTACAGAATTACAAATATATATTAAAAATCTTTATTTTTTAGAGTATTGTCATCTAAATAAGTTTACAGATTACGATCATATCTTATTAAAGATAAGTTAATAAGTAGGTACATTCGAGAATAAATTCAAATAAAATTTGTATTTACAATAATATTATAAAATAACACTTACGTCGAGTATTAAAAATTTTTTCTTTAAAAAACAAAGATAAGAAAAAAGTAAATTCATTCTTAACGAACAACATTTAATGGAATTGTTGTATTTTTGTTATTCAACATTCTTCCAATACTAACTTCTAAATTTTTAGGTAATTCATGCCAAACACATTTTCCAATAATTGCAACCTCTTCCATAGGTGGCCTAAATGCGACCAATATTGATATACAAATTCCATCAGTCGTATGTGGCATTGGAGATGGTTGATGTTCTACTGTAAGAATTCCATGTGGACGATGTTGTGGTAGATCAGATCCAAAAATTTCAATCATAAATTTTCGTAAAGTGGAATGTAAACTTTTTGCTGGATGTATTTCAACCGTTGGAAAATGTTGTGAATTTTTTTCACTTACTAAAACATTCAAAGAATTTGAGCTTCTTTTTCTAATTACAGCTATAACACGTAAAAAATTTTTATGATGTGAATTGGTTACTGGTAAAATTTCATTGTGCCATAGATTTGTACCACGATTTTTATATGCTCTTGCTAAACTTATTAAATTTAATATATCATTTGCACGAAGACTTAATTCTTGTACATTTTGAATCCATTTTGCCTGAAGTGATTCCTTATCAGCTTGCGCTGGGGTTTTCAATTGTCCACCGGTAATTTCTCCAGTTAATACAAAACGAAACCATGATCCCCCAGCAGCTTCTAAACCCAATATTGTGGTAACATTAACATTCAAACCAGTTTCTTCAAAAACTTCACGTCTCGCTGCCTCAATAACTGTTTCACCCTTTTCCATTCGTCCAGCCGGAAGATACCATTTACCAGCACATGATTGTTTCGCTTCTTGCATCATTAATATTTCATCGTATTCATTAATAATAACACATGCAACAATTATTGTTACCGATTTCCCTAAAAGTTAACATGAGTGAAAAAAAATTAAGATACAAAAATAGCTTAACAAAGCATATAATATAATTACTACCTATAATAATAAGAGATACGTATGTACATACATATCTACAATTCCAACAGAAAATATAACAATAAATTCATACCTAATACAGGAACGTAATCAGATGGTGTGGATGGTTGAACACCTTGTGCTTCTGTAGCTGCATTTTGCTCTTCTAATGAAAAATCACATAATTGGGGTGCTATATCTCCCAAATGTTGATTATTTAACAATTTTTTTAAATTATCATCCATTTTTTATTTATTTTAAGGATCACAATTTATATACAGTATTGTCAATGTGAAAAAATGAATCCGTCTTTTGATTAGTTGACCTAAAAATTAATACAAACTTAATAAAATAAAAAAGACAAAGTAGGTAATCTAAATTTTCAACCTGTTTTTTAATACAATAACTTTGATTATAAGAATGTTTGGACTGAACAATGTAATTATTTTGATATATTAAATTAACTATTTTTAATAAAATAAAATAAATCAACCCGATAAAGTATGGTACCAATTCACTTAAGACGCTTGAAAGTCTTTTCAAAATATCTAAGTACAAACAGGTAAAAAAATGTGGGTAAACAACTTTTCTAACATAAATTAAGTTGAATAGATAACTTAACGTATTAAAAAATTTTGTTTTTGTTACGCTCAAAGAATGTGAATTGAGAGCGAGATGTAAAAGAAAATAAAGCTCATTAAAAAAGATATTGGTTTACTGTTATTCGCATGGAATATTATCTATGTAATGTAATATGTAATTACACACATACATATCTACATATATAAAATTTATATAGTTGCGAAGTATGAAGATGGAATTGCAAAGAAAAATACATATTGTAGTAGATACGTGGACTGTATTTAAACAATAATTAAAAATTCAGTGGATTATTAATTTCAATATTTTTTTTCTTCATAAATTCATTATTTTGAATATTTATAAAAAAAGGTTTTTAGATTTTAATTAATTAATTCATAATTCAATGTTAATAAAAAAAAAAATATTGAGATAAAGTTTACCATTTGAATTTTTTACTCTTGAAAAATTCGTTACCTACATTCGAATTTGTTTAGAAAAAATTCCTTGACACACCTGTATAAATTTTTATGCTAATTCGCGTTTAACATTAACCACTTCGAGATTATTTTAAGATGTGACTTTATTATCCGAAATATATATTTACATCATAGTTAATACTTCGATACTATTAGTGCTTGCTATTGATTAAGCAAAAAACCGATATTAGTCATAAAGCTACAATAACTATTAATTTGTCTTCTTTCATGTTTTTTTTCCTGTTAAATTCCTTATTTCTCACCTCTTAATTCTTTACTTTATTACCTGCTTCTTAAAGAATTTTTTTGTAAATAAACAAGATACCTTTACCTAATACCAATTCACTCAACTAATATTTATTACCTTATTCATTCATTTCTTGTCTTCACATCAACTTTTAAGAAACTGTCAAAAAAGCCAAGAAAAAAAACAAAAGAAAACTAATAAGACTTGAAAAGCGTCTTTATTGTCACAATGCAGACGTTGTAGTGTTCACACGTCGAATTTTGCACATCAATTTTAATTGCAATTTCTGAAGTTTTTATTTTCAAATTTTTATTTAAATGGTATTTTGATACACAGTATTGAAATAAATATATAAATAAATATAACCCAAATATAAAGAAATTTCGACATTTATATGTCATTCTGTGTTATATCAGAATTAATATCTCATACAATAAAAAGAAAATTTTCGGTATATTGCAACACCAATAAAAAAACAATGAACTGAACTTTCAAATATGAAAATATTTTAAATCACATTCGTCGTAAAAAAATTTGCATGCCTCTCTGATATTTAATGTCGTTGTCTAATTTTTTAGTGGTTAAATTAAACAAATTTTTTGTTTTATAAGAATCAAAACTGAATGCGTTATACAAAACTTAATGAACTTAAATATTCATCTACAAAAGTATCTTCCATATTTCCTTAAGCTTTCCTTATCTATAAACATTTTTTACATTTCAATAGAACAAGCTATAATAATATTCTTTAATATTTGACGAAGTGGTTTGTACGTGTTGGAGTTTATAAATTTCTTTTGATGATATTTATGTTTTGTTTAAAATCTAAAAAATTATAAGCCAATTCTCTCTTGTTCTGATCAGTCCAATTCCGGTTGGTAAATGATGAGTGTAAGTGGTATGTCTCTTAAATTATACTTTTATTTTTTATTTTCAATAAATCATAATGCAATATAATTTAAATAAATGCAAACCATTGTGAATTTTTTGTAACAATATAATTATGAAATATGTCATTTTATATAAAACATAATATCATTTATGAAGTGAGAATGAAACGTCTATATATTAATAAAAAAAATACATTTTTTCAAATTTGTTTGGTTGGTAGCACTGATCTATTTTTCTTTTCATTAAAATTTTAATTTCTGCCAAAAAACAAGTAGGTACTTTGCTCGTTGATTCGCTTCGTTCGTTCGTTTTGTACCACCAGAAGTGAAGTGAAAAATTAGATCAGAAGTTTTTTTTTATTTTGTAAAATAAAGAGAAAAAATTTTTTTATATAAAAAAAAACGATTTCCTTCTTTATTTTTCAAAAATTCCGTTTGCAAAATTATTCGGAACTTTTTTTTTTAAAATAAAATTTTAATAACTCTTTTTTTTAAATTAAGCATTATAAATAAAAAAATTATTTAAGCTAGAAAAATATAAAGTGAAAAAAAATTTATTCGAATTTGAAAAATAAAAGAAAAAAATTTAAGAATAAGAAAAATAAAAGAAAAAAAAATTCACAATGGAAGCAAAAAAGTTATGAATGAGTACGTGTTGGTGTTGAATTTGTGTAAAAAAATTTTCTAGATTTTCATTAGATTTTTTTTCACAGATTCTTTTATTTTGTGGTTAGTAAATTTCAGGTGCTAATTTACAATTTGAATATTAAAGTTAACAATTAAAAATGTTGATTTTTAATTAAAATTGAAGCTTGCCATAATGAATTTTTTTCTTGTGAATAGATTTGTGAAAAAAATATTGTCAAAATAACCAGTGAAAATATTTTGAAAAAAAAAAAAACAAAAATTTTGACAGCAAAGAAAAAACCTAAATCTGAATTCCCTTATCTCTTTTGCTTATTTTTTTCTTTTGTGTATTTTCTGTCTTTTTTCTTTTAATGTGATTTTTTACTTTGTACAAAGAGTTGATGTAAATGAAGGAAAGAGACATTCGATTTCATTCGTTCTTTTATTTTTGTTGTATTTTATTTTTGTTTCTTTATGAAAATAAACTTCAATCAGCGTAGGAGTTGTTTCTTTTTTTTTTTGTTATTATTTTTGTTTTTTTTTTTGACAGATTCTCGTAGGTAAAAATCAATGAAAATCGCAATGTAGATAAATATTTATTTTTCTTTAAGAAAGAAAAATATAAATACATAATAATATTATATAGTATGTATTCGAAGAAAATAATAAAAAAAAATAATGTAAAATAAATAAGTATAGAAGAAATTGTGATTTTTTTAGTATTGCTGAAATAAATAAGAAAAATTATACATAAGAGTTATAAAACTAAAAATAAATAAAAAAGAAAGTGTTATAGGCACTGCAAGAATAAAAAAATCTGGAAATAAAAATGAAATAAAAAAATTTTACTAAAATACTTTATAATATTTTAATAAATACTAGAATTGTGATTGCAAAAATTAGTTTTTAAAGAGATGAAAATAAGCACAAAATAGTTTTAATAATAAAAAAAGAAAAAAGGAAAATAAGTGAAAAACTGCAGGGATCCAGAATCAATTGTGCAGGTTTTTTTTCTTATAATTTTTTTATTTTGCAGTAGGTGTAAAGCGCGTAATTTCTTATTTCTTTCTCTCTTTTTTCATTGTTCTTATTTGTTCATTATTATTTTGTTCAGTTATTGTAACACTAATTTAATACTGCCTACTTACATATGTTCATACTTACGTTCACATGCATACATAACTAATAAAAATAATTTTTTTTTTAATTATTTAATTAAAATTAATTTTAAATATCTACAATAATTTTGTAAATATCGCTATTCCATGTGTAGATACCTATCTACATTCTGTAATATAGCATTTTTTTATTTTTTAACGCAAAAACTTGGGATTTACTCTTATAGCATTTGTAAAAATTTCATATATTTTATGTGGTATGCAGCCTGTGTAATGTGTGCAGTTGTAGGTATATATAGCTATCAAATGCATTCATTTAACCGTGCATTTGCATTTATACGAACCTACCTACGAATATACATAACGTACTTATATATGTATATATATGTATACGTGTTTAAGTACGTACGCATTGCATTTCATATATTATATTATTTTATACAATTTGTTTGTTAACCACCACCTATATTTTTTAAATTGATGAGCATAGCTAAATTATATCTATTTATAGTGACATGTGCATTTGTGAAAAAAAAGCAAAAATTAAATTTATATTATTTTCTATTTGAATGAAATTAATTTTTATTTTGAATTTACTATTTCTTTCACGAGAAAATACTAATTTTATTTATGAAAATAAGTTTTTACCAAATGACATTCTTAAAAATATTGTGTAAATAACAAGTGCTACTGTTGTGCCAGCATTTTTTTAGTTTAGGTAGGTAGATACTCTTAATAGTTAGGGTTAATAGCAACATATCAGTTCGTTTCATAAAACAAAACCAAAATAATTACTTGCTTATTGTACAAAATTGAAGAGAAAAATAAACTTCTCAGTTAAATTATTCTTAACTGGTAGATTTGTGGTTAAATTTTTCGGTTGAATTAAAAAAAATTTTAAAAAGGTAGGTTTTACCAGCTAATTATATTGTAAATTTTTTTTGGAAATTCAATGATATTCAATAAATTGGTTGATATTTTAAAATATATTGTAAGTTTAAATCGGCATTAACACATTGCAAGTATAAGACCCAAATTAGATATCTATGTATGTAGGTGGTAAAAATTTGATGTATACATAGATACCTACCTAATTATTATCAAGTGTAGGATTCTGGTATACTTACCTAGCTATATGATTTACATAAAACTTTTATTATTTACAATTCAATAATATTTGCTTCCCAGCAACAGGAAAAATTTTTTTTTTTGGTGCTCATATCAAAACAATTTTATAATAAGTACCCATGTCCTTTTTTTATTATTTGTAAATATGAATGTATGCCCATGTACTTAATATAAGAAAATACATAAGTAGCCACCTATCTACATATTCATAAACATATAGATAAGTTATATTAAATAATTACGGAATTTTTTTTAAAACAGTTGAATTTATTTATGAAATTTGTGCAAGTATTGCTATTTATTTCATTAAGGTTGCAATAAATTGAAATCTTAATATCTGATATTATGAATTATGTATTTGTATTTACCAATTAAAATGTAATTTTTTATTACTTCATGTATTTATTTACATAAATTTATGTGCTTTAAATAAAATTCTTGGCTACTTTCCATCTGATGTAAAATTAATAAAAAACCTATAACAAATTTACATAATTAATATTACATAAGTACTTACATATCTACTTTTACATGTAATACTTACTTTCGATTAAAACTTAAATTCCTATTCAACAGTAAAAAAATAAATTCCTAGAATGCTTTTCTTTTCAAAAAGAGGCTGAGAATAGGCTGAAATATTGTTTTATCTAATATAAGTAGGTATATATGTAAGTACGTATACATAACATATGAAAAATTAAAAACATTTATTGCTTATCTATTATCAGTACCCCTAACTTCAATTGTGGCGGTACATATGCGTTTTAACTGTAACACTAAGTACTACCGTTGACTTACAAACAAGATATAGCATTAATAGGCATTGCATTTATTGAAATTTTATATAAAGTTCGTATGGTACAGACATAACAACAAAATTATATTTTGAAATTTACCGTCATAAATTTCTTTTTTATATTCACAGTAATTTTTAAATTCGATTATTTTTATAATTATTTTTATAGTTAGAATTAAAACAGAATTTATAATAGAAATTCTTATTTTTGCTTTGGTAGGTACTTTTTTTTATTTGTATATTTATGTTACTGTCACATCAGCTATGTCAATATAAAAATTAAGCATCGTTATTGTCACACAAGCGGTAAAAAAGCAAAAATTAAGTATGCATAAATTTATACTAGAAACACCCATCTGAACATTTTATAAACATAACAAATTTTATTGACATTTGGATTTTGTAGATTTTTTGTGCATATAAAATGTTACTCTAGATAACTCTAGATAGTAGCTAATGCGATATATCTGCCCAATTGAAGTTGGGGTATGTATAATACAAATTTTTATAATATAATCTATTACCAATTCAGTTTCGAAATTCAATGCAAAATCATAAACGAAAAGCCATAGCAAATAAGTCTTTTATTTTATCTTATTTTACTTTATTCAATAGTGATTAATCTATTCTATAGAAAAGAAAATAATATTTGAATGACAACATAAAAAAAGGCAATTGCTTTAATTGTAGCTGGTTCTTACAACTAAGAAATAAACACGAATAAAACAAATTAATTTACTCAATAGTTTTATGTCGTTAAACTTAATTGTAAAAATTTCATCATAAAATCCGTTTAATTAATATATTCTAAATCCAATTTAAAAATTTTCAAAAAATCCTGTATTGTAAATTTTTAACCAATCACTAACTGGTACAGAATCTCTTTTTTTTTTTCAAAAATTAAAATATTCCTATGATAAAACGAAAATTGTTTACCAAATTTAAACATAAAAGATGAAAAAAGTTTGACTTTTTTTTTTTTGACCATAACAATTTCTTAAAACAAGCGGCTTTTATTCACTATAACTATAAAGAAGAACAATATAAATTCAAAATATCATGTTAGTTTGTGTATTGCATGCGTATCTAAGAGCAAAAATTAAAATAAGAAAAAAAATCAAATAAAAGATATTTAAAAGCTTTAAAAATATTCTTTTTTTTTCAACTTCGCATTTATTCTAGGTTATGTAATCTGGAGTTTTTTTGTTTTTTTTTTTTTCTTTTTAAGTTTGATACCCTTCAAATATTTTCGTTTAATATGGGCTATTCAAGATCTAATTTTTATGTATGTACATACATATATGTATGTATGTGTATCGATGTAGTACATAAATACATAGGTGGATATATGGTACTTATATTTAAAGTTTGAACTGAAATTTTGACCTTTTTGTCAATAATATTATAATGAGACCATATATTTAAACATTTTATTGAATATTTGAAAAAGGGAGACAGATGGTAGAATATGAAAATCAATTTCAAATTAAGATTTTTAATGTAAAATGGTATCTTTTAATATAAATACAAAAAAAACTTACCTTTGAGTATTGAGTGAATTAAAATTTATGTATGCATTTAAGTATTAAGATTAATATAATACATACTTATACCTATAAACTTTGTTCTTAAAAGTTAAGTTACAATACTTTTAATGTATTGTAATTTAGCTTTTAAGAACAAAAAGTCCATCAATTTTATTATTTTATAAACATACATATAAATAATACATTTTATTATTATTTATATGTATGGCGATCCTATATGAATTTGCCACCAAGCCAGTAGTGTGAAAAATAAATAAAGAGTTACAATATTTTATATGTATACATAAGTACATAAACTCTTTGTACAATATATATATATATATATATCAATTGACTAGAGCAATTATTTTACTGACATTGAAAATTTTCGATTATATTGATTAGAAAATTCAAGTAAGCGTGTACTTATTTTAATGTGTAGGTGAAGGGACATTACCTTGGTACTAACGCTTACCTTACTACTTACTATACTTAATTTACTATTTTAAATGACGTATATTAATGAATACAAGTGATTTTTGATTACGATTAATGTATAGGTACATACATATAATAATATAGGTAATGAAAACAGCAGCAAAAATAGTACAGTCGAACAAGGATATATAAACTTGCATTGATTACTTTCGAAAATTATTTCAATTAAACCGAAATGAGGTTGTTGTTATTATATAACATTTAGTAATAACATTTAGTAAAATTAAAGAAAAATAATATTTAGTAAATTAAAGAATATGTGTATTTATTTCTAAGCAAAAAATTGTAGTTTTTATAGGATAAAAAAAAATAGGAATAAAATAGGAAAACACTGTAAGCTTGTTTAGTGCAAGTATGTTGGTAAGATATAAGTATGTTAGGTTTGTTAACATACATATATTAATTTTTTTAAATAACAATAATTTTATATTCTTAAATTAAGTACTAGATTTGTACACATTTTTTCTCAAAAGCCATCAAATATTTACGTAATTTTTTTCTATTTTAAATTTGTACTTATAGTGATTAACTCCGAAACACATTTCGAAAGTAGAACAACTCTGTACTAATTGGGTTTTCATATCATGCTCATTTTGTAAAGTTCTGAAATTTTTTGAATACTTACTTAGTTACCAATTCTATAATTTTTTTTGTGTATTAATTGATTTAAACAAAACATTCTTCTTGATTTTCGAAGAATGGGTTTTTTTATATTTTTTTTTTCTAGTAAAACTTGTTTTCAAAAAAAAAACTTTTTTTTTAATAAATTTCAAAATAAAGCCTATATGAAAGAATATAAGTAATGCTAATTTATATAAGATAGAAATTCAGTAACTCTATTTAGGAATTCTGTACAAGAAAGGCACAAGTACATACTATAATTTTGTCGAAATAGATTTCAAATATTGGCTCTATTAGCATGACTCTGCATTTTTTAGCATTAAAAAGTTAAAGGGTTAGAATCTTAATAATTTTGTGTTGCAAAAAATTAAAAATATTACAATTGTACAATGTACTCACTTATATAAATATTGGTTATTTATAGGTAGTGATTACTTTTGTATTTTTAGTACGAACGATGAAATTATGCTTTCCTTCTTCATTAACAATTTAATAACATGCTTAAAATTAATTCTTTAAATTAATTATGAAATTATGATATATGATTCTTCCTTATTATAGATGAAATTAAATTATATAAATACGTAATTAATATTATTATATTTAAATAAGTTAAAAATGAAAAAATGAAATTTATGCTATGCATGATGAAATCTAATTCTTTTTCAATTAAATGAATGAAAATTATAGTTAAGTGAATTTGAAAATAAAAAAAAAAATGTGTAAATAAAAATACAGAAAACAACGAAATATTATGGAAAAAAAAGTATTTAAGTAAAAATACGTAATTTACTAGTATTAATATTATTGAAATATAAAGTGAATTTATTAGAAATGAAACAAAATGAAATAAAATGAAAAATTATTAGAAAAAAAACCGCCAAGTAAATAATAATATTTTGGGCGCGAAATTAAAGCATGCGTGTATCACCTACACCTCTATCAACAATAAATTATACAAAGAGAACAACAAATCAAACAACAGTAACATCATCAACATTATCAACAACTTCTTCACCAACAATATCATTATTAATACCAACAGTAGTAGCAGCAGCATCATCATCATCATCATTATTACAATCACCATCATCATCATCGAGATTATCAACAACATCAACTATTTTACCAATAACGTCATCAATAAATAAAATAAATACCACTACAGTTGGGACTGGTGAATTAAATAATAATTGTATTAATATTAGTAATAATAATAAAAATAACAATAATCGTACTATTTTATATTCAATTAATAAAACTGAAACACGAGAAAGATCACAACAGCCACAACAACAACAACAACAAAAATATTCAACTTTAATAAATAAAAAAATATATTCAACATCAAATTTATTTAATAATACAACAACACCTTCAAAATCTATAGTTAATATTACGGCTACATCTGCAGGTACATCTTCATTATATCAACAGCAATTAGAAAATACATTAATACAAAAATCATCATCAATATCTACAAAGCAAACAAAAGTTGGAGGAGAAGCAATAGTTGCATTAGTATCAACATCAACATCATCATTATCATCATCAACGACAGCATTATCATCATTATCTACAAATAATAATGATAATAAATCAAATTCATTTTTAAATTTAAAAGATAGACATGAAAATTATAATAAACAAATAGAACAAAATCAGAATCAAAACCAACGTCAACTTATAATTGCTTCTACAAAAAAAGATAATAAAGAATTACAACAACAACAGCAACGAAAAAATCATATTCTTCAACAAACGTCAAATGTCCTACAGGATTGCGATACTGAAGATGAGGTGAGTAAAAAAATATACCAAAAATATCCTACTTATTTCATTTTGCATATTTTTATTTCACAAATTTTTTTACATTTATATATACATATATATAATGTGTAGAATTCAACTATAACTTAATAGTGTATAGTGTGTATATAAGTATGTACATGTACTTATGTATGAAAATTAATTTTTATAACTTTGCAGTCTACTCATAAAGAAACCGATTTATATCTCTTTTGAATTTAAAATAAAAGAAAAAAAAATTAAAAAAATTGCAGACTAAAGGACTAGAACATGAATTCATTTGAATCCTTTTGAATTGTATTTGTACTTTATGAAAATGTGTATGTATTTGAAAAATTTGGATTTATGTACGCGACTCTCATGCTCTTTTTTTCTTGGTTTGCCTTCCTTTCTGATTATAAAAGTATGTTTTAAGGAAAATTTCAATATTTTATATAAAATACTAACTCTTAGTACTGAAAAATTAAATTTTATTTTAAAAAATTAAATTCGCCAAAATAAACAAGTTATTTTACAAGAATATTTTTAGAATAAGTGTTAGAAATTCAAATCGTTTAAGCAAATTTTGAATACTTACTATTGCCTTAACAAATTCCGAATGGTAATTGAATAAGATTTATAAGAATATCTACAGGCTCTATTATCGAATTCGTTTTGGGAAAATTTTCAAAATAAATTCAAAAAATTATTCTTTTTAGAGTTTTTTCGAATCTTTTAATTTATAAATTATGAGTTGTTTATTTTTATATCGAAGCATTTTGAATTAAAGCATTTCTGTGTATATAAATTTTTAATACAATAAAGGAAGTATTGTAATAACTCCAAATTTCACATGTCGAAAATTCTCTATGACAGACACCATATTAGTGTGTGAATTGTGGCGAGCATTTCAGGTGTCATCAAGTGGATCTTTGTACTACGTATCGCATATATATTTTGCCTTTATTTTAGTACAGAGAAAAATTATCAAACAAAACTACCTAAAATCAATATTTCCACTTTGGTTGTTAAAACAATGAATTATCTAATTTTTCGGTCAATTCTTTAGAGGTCGATTTTACATTTTACATCATATTTCAATAACAAACTAACAGACTGGCTGGAAAAATGAAACTCTACTAAGAATCAAATTTACATTTTTTGGAGCATATGAGCTAAAAGATTGTTAGGTGTGTTAAAGTGAAAGTTTTGGTTAAAAATAGTAAATAGTACCAATTTCAATTTTTTTTCTTATATAATTACAAAATCAGTTTTGACTGTAATTTAGTATCGTTTGTGTAAAATATTGTTTTTTACACATAGTTTTGATTTAAAGTTTTCTCAATTTAAGTACTTAAATAGTTCTGCATTTATTTCTAAATCCTTTTGCTTGCTTATTTTAAACACAAATTTTTATTACAGAGGAAACATAAGAACATTGTTAGTGAAGATAACGACTAAAACAAAATTCTTGTTCCAATTAAAAATCTTCCCTATTTTTTGTATAAATTTTAGTACTTTATCGAATGAATGTGCAAATAATAGGATTGAGCCATGTTAATTCAAAACGCATTAAATATTTTTAATTAATTTATAACCTACAATTATAGAATATTAAAGATATTTTGACCCTTTCTAATTTTCTACATTAATATGTAAAAGTATAGACACTTTCTTTCCTCTATAGCTTCAGTTTTAATTGAAAATTATTTATAAAAATTCAATGGTTCAATGGTTCAAAGAATAATTGGTGTATCTCCTTTATTATCATAATAAGAATATGTCCTACATATTTTGTAGATTCATACAACAAATACATATAAATTTCAAGTAAAATTAAATTATACTTACAAAACTTGTTAATTTAATAGCAAAATCATACAAATTAATACAAAATTTTCGATAGAGTCACGTGAGATAAATTGAATTCTTGATAAGGCAATTAGGTATTTCATCTATCAAATAGTAATGTTAATATATTTATTGGCATGATGAGTTCCTTTACAGAAATTTCAGAACCTGGTGTACTTGTGAAAACTTATGTAAATAAACACATTTAGTGTATTTCTTCGTATATACAAATTAAAAGTAAAAAATTTAAAATTTTTCTATTTTAATTTTGAAAAAATACATTTAATCATTTTGTAGTTACAATAATTTGTACTAAAATAAATTGTTTATTTACTGTGTATTAAGTAAATAAATTTACTGCATATAATTTTCATTGGAAATTTGCATAATTTTATGAATATTATAGGTTTTATTATGCTTACTTGGGGGTCCGATAAAATTAATGATGTTGCTATTTATATAAAATCAACATTGCAAAGTCATAACTATTTATTTTTAATTACATATATATAAAAGTATATAATACACGTAGCATTTAAGAGAGTAAGTAATTGATTTTAGTCCTTTTTAAAATTGATTACTTTTACACTATATAACTAGGTATAAATAATTTTTGTTTTTTTTACACTATACTTACTTTCCTTTGTTTATTTTGTAACATTTTCCCTATCATAGTAAATTTGAACCTTACATAATCATAATATTTTATTTTAAATACTTATAATGCGAAATATATGTGTATATATGTAGAAAATATTAATGTAAGTATATATATATTTATATTCATATTGGATGCACTGTACATTATAACTATGTCATATAGCTACTTGTACATATAAGTAAATAAATTTTAAATTGAGGGTCCCTAATACAATTCATTTTAATCCCTTCAAAAAAAAAGAAAAAAATACGAAAAAAAAGTGTTTCCTCCTTCACCTTTCGTCTTTTTTCTCGGAATCGGCTTTAGTTATTTTTACATTTTTTTTTCTTCCTTTTTTATTTTTGTTGTACTATCAGAACTGTCGTTTTCCGTTTAATGTAATAGTGTAACAATTTAATTAATCTGACATACATACAAATTACAAATCTCTGAAAGAATTACTTAAATATAAACTCATCGTTGTATTTTAGTAATATTATGCTCGTTAATTTTTAATATTGAATTTAGAATTAATACGTAACTATCCTCATTTGTGGCTCATAATTATTGCTACTACTGTTGTATTTCTGTTCGGTATATACTGCCAGATTTTAACATTAGGATTAAAGAATAATTTTAATGTTATTGCAAGTATTTCATACAATACGAAAAGGTTTTATTTCTCTATTGTATTAAATATCAATGTACATATATATATACTCGTATATGGCAATTTTCGAGAACATTATTTGTAAGTAATCTGCAAAATATAGCAATATGTACTGTTCAACTCTAGCGTAATGAATTTCAATTCTAATTGCTAACTCAAGTTATTGCCAAATTTAGAAATTTTTGCATTAATTACAGCTACTTCATTTTGAAAAAAAAATGTTTAAAATGAGTGGCCTAATTGCATATGATACTCGTAGATTTTTTTGCAAAAAATTATTGACTTACTTAAAATGTTCGTCAAATTTATGACTTGCTACAACATACTATTAATTTCTTAGACCAACTCAAATTAATATTATCAATTAAATTACGTTGTTCTAGAATTTTTTTATGTCTTAATTTTGGAAAATATATAGAATGGTAACACTGAACTTCTATCCTTTTTGCAATGATTCATCTCCCTCTTTCTCCCTATATAATTTGTTTCTCAGTTATTATATAACATATAAGTAGTATAAGAGTATGAATAATAATAATTTTTATTCAGGACAAGGCAAACAAAATAGCAAGCACCAAAGCAACTATAAAAGCAACAAAAATATAAAGAAATAAAAATCAAACACAACAACAAAAAAATAGTATTAATTCGCGCCTTGAAGTTAAAGAGTTATGAATACAAATAAGAGGAAAAATCAAAAACAAAGAAAAAAAAAGAAAAATATTCAACAAAATTTAAAATTGAGAGAAAACTTTCATCATCAGCTTTTTCATTGGGCATTGAACCCACTTTTATCCCTTTTATAAACCTTATAACACTACTCCTTTGATAAAATATGCAAAAACAAAAAAAAAAAAAAAAAAGCATAAATGCAAAGAAAAAATACATTTTACATTTATATAAAAAAAAGAATTATTAAAGGGAGTTCGTTGGTTAGTCTGTTAATATTAAGGAACATAAAAGCAAAAACAGCAAGAAACAACAACAAAGCAAGAAAAATAATTGCAAAAAAATAATTTTTTTTTTTCTCTCCGAGAAGATTTTTTTTCATTTCTCTTTTGGTTTTGTTTTGTTTTCCCCACAAAATATTGTAAAATTTTGATTTCCAGAATCAGAGACGCTTACAGGGTGTTTTCATCATTTTGGTAGTTTAACATTGATCCTTAGAAATTTTAAGAAATGAAAATTCAATCGAAGTTTTATAAAGTTTGGCTAATTTGATAACAAAATTTTTATGGACTGAAGTTCGATATATGACACAATTATTTCAGATCACTCATAATGGTGCTCTAATTGCAATATAATATTTTACCAAATTTTAAGGTAAACTTACATATAATGTATAAAAACCTACAAATGTGATTAAAAACAATTATTTCGATTGTTTTTTAGCATAAATCTATAAAAAAATAAAGTTTCTGATCAATTAGCTCGATCTTAGCTGAAGATAGCTCATAAAACTGTCATTTTTGATTTAAATGGTCAATTTCGAAAATAATTAAATAAAATTTTGATTTTGAAAATTTATTTTTTATAATTTTAGATTTAGTTCCTTATTACATTGAATATTAGCATTAAACTAGAATAGGTGATACGAAAAATTAGTACCAAGCCATTGCACAAAAAGTCTAATTACATATTTCGTGTATCAGTCGTCTCTTTTATTCACTCAAACCGCAATTATATTTTTTTATTGGGTATGTCATTTTTCCAATAATATTTCTAATTATTCAGCTAAATTTTCTCATTTTTTCTCAAAATATCCACTGAATTTGTCACCTTCAAAAAGAAAATGGATGAATGATAACTAAATATATTTTGCATTTTTAAATTAAATTTTAAAAGAAATGA